TGCACACACACACATACATTCTCCCCTCCTCTCTCTCTTTCTCTCTCACACACACACACACACACACTAACCCCCTCAGAGATAGTAAGAACTGCCGATGCTGGAGTCAGAGATAACACAGTGTGGAGCAGCAGGCCAGGCAGCATCAGGGGAGCAGGAAAGTTGACGTTTCGGGTTGGGACCCTTCTTCAGAAATGGGGAGGCGGAAGGGAGCTCAGAAATAAATAGAGAGAGGAGGGGTGGGGCTGGGGAAAGTAGGTGGGATGGTGATAGGTGAGAGAAAAGATGGACAGGTTGTGTCAGGTCAAGGAAGGTAGATTCTCTCTCCCACCCTCACAACATTATAGAATCCCTATGACATCCCTTCAGCCCAACAAGTCCACACCAACCCATCCCCATATAACCCACCTAATCTCCACACTACTGGGCAATTTAGCACAGCCAATCCACCCTAGCCTGCACATCTTTGGACCGTGGGAGGAAACCAGAGCACCCAGAGGAAACCCACACAGACACAGGGAGAATGTGCTAACTCCACACAGACAGTCACCTGAGGGTGGAATTGAACCCAGGTCCCTGGTGCCGTGAGGCAGCAGTGCTAACCACTGAGCCACCATGCCGCCCCTATCTATGGGGTGAATTTGTATTTGCAGATACATTTTGTTTTGTTCAAAAAGCACACAATTTATATACAGTCAGTCAATATGGCATTTTATAAGTTTCTACTTTGGAAGTACAACGAGAAGGGACTTGAGATGGTATGGGCACACTCATCTGACATGGACAGTCATATTGCGAGAAGGATGTTGGAGTGGGTTGTACCAGGAAGGGGAAAGCGAGGAAGACCACGAAGGAGAAGTGTGGACATGGTCCGAGAGGATCTGGAGGAGGACCTCCAGGGAATATATGCCCAAAACCGGGAGAAATGGAGGAGTGCCATTGTGAACAACTGCTCCAGCTGCCGGCAGAAGCAAGAGCGAAAATGAAGAGGGAGATAAACCATTTTCACGTTGGCAAATGGAGACCGAAAGAACTGTGGTTGCTGTAAATGCTGCCAGACCTACTGAGCTTTTCCAGCAACTACTGTTTTTGTACCAAATGGAGAATCACATGGAATGAGATCTGGGGGCTTGGCTTTTACCATCCGTACGAATGATTTGAATGGAGTGGACTGCAATGCAGTCAGTTCTGCAGATCGGTGAAAGATGGGTAAGGAAGAAAGTTGTGACAAAGATTTGTTTTTTTTTTGCCACAACAGTGAGGCTCTCAGCCCTGGAGAAATTGGCTGACCTGTCCGAAAACTGGAGTTTCTACCCTGGAGAACTGGAAGGACGTACTTGCAATGGGGACAACTTAAAGATGGTTCACTTGGCTAATTCCCAGGATGAAAACCAAAGGTGCTGGAGAAATTCAGCATCTGCAGAGAGAGAAAAGCAGAGATAGCGTTTCAAGTCTAATATGAGTTTTCTTTGGAATGGGATTCTTGTAATCACTGTCATTGAGAAAAGGTTGGGCCTGTACTTATTGGTGTTTCAAAGAATGAGAGGTGGCCTTATTGTAACATATAAGTTTCTGAGGCCGCTTCTCACAGTGGATACTGGGAGAACGTTTGATGTCATGTGGAAATCTAGAACTAGGGGACCTAGTTACAAAATAAAGGGTCACCAATGTAAGATGAAGATGAAGAGGAATTTCTTCTCTCAGAGGGTCAATAGTGTTTGGAATTATCTTCCCCAGAGAGCAGTGAAAGCTGGGTCAATGAATATAGTCAATACTGTGTTAGACAGATCTTTGAGTGACAAGCTAGTCAAGCGTTACGGGGGACAAGCAGGAAAGTGGACTAGATTCCAGTCATGGTCTTATTGATGGCAAAGCAGACACAAGGGGTGGAATTTTCTACTCCTGCTCTTGAGATTTTATGAAGCTGCCGCCCAGTGTCCCTGGCCATGTTCTGATGTGCCAGAGGTTGCAAAGACCTCCCCGTGTTTATGCATGTGTAAGTAAACCCCAGGTTTACAGTTTGTCAGGTTTATTTCCTGATAATTAAGCCTTGGTCAAAATGGATGTAAAAGGACATGTGGTGGTACAGCGGGTAGCCTCCATGCCACTGAATCAGAAGCCTGGGCTTCGAGTCCCACTCCAGGACTGGATGGCTAAGAAAAGTGTGTTCATAATGGGGCTGAATAATTTGCGTGTTAACCTTCAAATATGCCAATGGTGCATGTTAGGAGAAGGAAGGCTTTCTGGCTAGTCATGCTTGACTTGGAATGGTGCCTATAGGCTGTGGCTTCGGGCTAGTGACTCTTACACATTTTTATAGATGAACCATAGAATGCATCCTATCTGGAAGCCTCAAACTGTAGTGTGTCAACTGCTCTTCCCATCGCCGAAAGAAATGGTAGAGAGTTGTGAACACAGCCCAGTCCATCCCACAAACTAGCCTTCCTTCCATTGACTTAATCTATACTTCCTGCTTCCTTGGGAAAGCAACCAATGTAATCAAAGACCCACCCCCTCCCAGCCTGGCTGTGGTCTTTGCCACCCTCTTCCGTTGGGCAAGAGGTATAAAAGTTTGTATACATGTACGAACAGATTCGAGAACAGCTTCTTCCCCACTGTTATCAGACTTCTGAATGGACCTCTCAAATGTTAATGTTGATCTCTCTCTGCACCTTTTCAATGGCCGTAACACTATATCCTGCACTCTGTTCTTTTACCCTGATGCACTTGTATAGTACGATCTACCTGTGTAGCATGTAAGACAGCACTTTTCACTGCACCTCAGTACACGTGACAGTAATAAATCATATCAAACCTTCCAGGAACACAGAGCTATGGTAACAAAGGTAAGCACGTGCCCCATCTGTCTCTAGATGCAGTGAGAAGGAGACGTGAAGTGTGATGCTGTCGTTTCCCAAGAGTGTGGCAGGAGAGGTAATCAAAAGCCTCTTTTTTTACTTAATGAAGGGCAGTGAATTTACCCCAAGGTTACAGACCAGGCGTTGCTTCAGTCCTGAGGGGCATTGGCTGTGATTCATGGCCGAAGATGCCTACACCATCTTCCCTGATGGACAGGCAGCAACAGTGCAGTTGCTGTTGGAAATCTAGCAATCCATTCCAATGTGAGGAATTTTGCAATAGCAGCTTGGTATTAACATTCCCAGATTGTGGATCAGTAGATGGAGGCCTGTGAGTAGAGTCTGGAGCATCATATATTCACGTCTCAACATTATACTGCGTTCTGATGAAGGGTCTAGGCCTGAAACGTCAGCCTTCCTGCTCCTCTGATGCTGCTTGGCCTGCTGTGTTCATCCAGCCCTGCACATTGTTATCTCAGATTTTCCAGCATCTGCAGTTCCTACTATCTCTTATACTGGGTTTTGTGCCTTCATTCACTGGGCCATTAAGGATTTCAGGTTAATTGTCCTTATGGGTATAGGGATTCTTCAGTGCTGCAGCAATAGCAACTTCAATTTATATAGCTCCTTTAGCATAGTAAATTGTCCCAAAGTGCCTCACGGGAGCAATTATTGAACAAAGTCTTAATGCCAAGCAATTCAATGAGTGATTAAAAGCAGTCACAGGAAGCTTGATCAAAGGGCTAAGTTTTAGAAAGCCACTGAAACCCACATCGACACGACGGTCAAGAAAGCACAACAACATCTTTACTTCCTCAGGAGGCTAAGGAAATTCTGCTGGTCCTCAAGGACTCTTACCAATTTTTATAGATGCATTACAGAAAGCATCCCATCTCAATGCATCACACCACGGTACGGCAACTGCTCTTCCCAAGACCATAGGAAGTTACAGAGAGTCGTGAGCACAGCACAGTCCATCACGCAAACCAGCCTTCCATACTGGTTATACTCTCTTCCATCCTCTTCTGTCGGGCAGAAGTTATAAAACACGTACGAACAAATTCAAGAACTGGAGCTCATTAGAAGAGGAGAGAGAGAGTCAGCATGGTTTAGGGAGGAAATTCCAGATCTAGGCAGTTGAAGGTGATGGTAGGATGAAGGAAATTTGTGATCTAAAATGGGCTGAATTGGAGGTGTGCAAAGAACTTGGAGGGGCCCAGTCCGTGGAGGGAATTGAAAACAAGGGGTGGTTAAAACCGAGACACAGCCATACCAAAAGCCAGTGTAGGCTCAGTGAGCAGGAGTGATGGTTGAACAGGACTTGCTGTGAGTTGGATGTGGGGCAGCAGAGATTTGACTAAACCCAGGAGCAAGTACAGCAGGTAGACATAATTACTGCTTAAGTTGCAGTGTGTCATTAATACAAACCAAGAGCAAACTGCCTCCTCCCTCTGCGGATCAGTGAAGAACCACTCCCAGCAGGTCATCACATCTGCAGGTGTATGCCATATGGGTTAGAGACCAGGCTATCATATTGATTTATTGTTGTCACATACAGTGAAGATACAGTGAAAGGGGTCGCTTTGCTGCGTGCTGTACAGGCAGGTCGTTCCATACAAAGTGCATCAGGGTAGCAGAACAGAGTGCAGAATAGTGTTACAGCCGCAGAGAAGGAGAGATCAGAATTAACATATGAGAGGTCCATTCAAAAGTTTAATAACACAGTGTTGAAGCAGTTCTTGAATTTGTTCGTACGTGTTTTATAACTTCTGCCTGACAGAAGAGGATGGAAGAGAGTATAACCAGTATGGAAGGCTGGTTTGTGTGATGGACTGTGCTGTGCTCACGACTCTCTGTAACTTCCTATGGTCTTGGGAAGAGCAGTTGCCATACCATAGTGTGATGCATTGAGATGGGATGCTTTCTGTAATGCATCTATAAAAATTGGTAAGAGTCCTTGTGGACCAGCAGAATTTCCTTAGCCTCCTGAGGAAGTAAAGATGTTGTTGTGTTTTCTTGACCGTCGTGTCGATGTGGGTTTCAGTGGCTTTCTACAAGGATCACTAAATTTAGCTTTTCTGCACTTGCTGTTTCTCCTTTTGGCCTCTGTTAATACCTGTGTGTTCCTCCTCTCTTTCACAGTCGCTGAGAAATCGGCTGCCTCAAATGGGATTGAAGAGCTGGAGCTCATGCCTCAAAGAGCCAAGGGGACTGAAGACAAAGTCACGGGACATGATCGTATTCGGCGCAAGGCTTGCCTCAGCCCTGACCCTGACTCCCACACTCTGCCGCGCATTGCAGCTGATCTGAATGAAAAGGAATCTACGATGGCGAAGAAACATCTGCTCCGGGAACCCCCATCGCCTCCCAGAGGTGGCCCGGCCAGTGAAGGCTTTACCAAGCTGCTCCAAGAGGTTGTTGAAAAGAAACAAGATGCAGATAGCTTCTCAGATAATGACATGGCAATCTTAACATTGAAGAAATCAGAAGATGAAGAGGAATTTGCTGACTTCATGTTCGAGGAGTGAATGAGCGTAACAGTCGTCGTGCTGCACCTTACACCAATGCTCCACAACTATATCCGTTAATCTCAACTGTAGAGCTCGTATATTCAATACTGAAAACAATAGCTCAAGTGTGGTCGATGATACCATGGTTTGTTATGATAGTTATTTGGAAGCAAGGGTCTGTGGTAGGGTGACTATTTGGGCTGTGTTCCAGAGGTTTATTGTAAGGCTATCAGATTTTCAGTCTGTGATCCAGCTGTTCACTGGAGTACTACCACATGTTTGAATGGTGACCCTGAGGTTTATTTTTATGGACCTGCCGCATGTTTGAGATGGACGGTTACTGAAGTTTGACCAAAGCTTTTAGTTTAGGTTTTGTCTCATATGACGCCAGGTTTTAGTCTCATGTTGAAGATAATGCTGGCTTCAGATGGTTGCTGTAACATACATGGTATTGATGTGGTGTCTGGGCAAATGCCTCTCCTGATTTAGATTTCCGGGAAGATATTGAATGAATGTTTGAGTGGATGTTGGTCATCTTACTCTATATCCTAAAGAATATCCAAACTTTGTGACAGTGCAACTCTTTGTCTTTCCCGTCGATCCAGTCATCCCTTTTCTCCACTTTGATATAAATTTATTCCTTTATCCAAATAGTAAGGCCGGCTGCTTCTTGCCAGCTAGTTGTGCAGCAGCTAGTTGTAAGGATAGCCCCAACTAAAGTGGGTGTTTTGTATTACTTCATTAAGATCCAGTGTTGACATTCTGAATCTACACTGTCAGTTCGATTGTCAAATACATTTTCCTGATCCCTGTTGTGGTTCAGTGTGTCACAAGCCATGCAGAATAGAATAGGCCTTCATTGTTGCCTGTTAACTATTCGTCACATGTCCACTCCCTACATTGGTGGCCAGAAATTTCAGTATTTGATTACACCTCTACCTTGTTCCAGGACTAAAAAGAGAGGAATAACCTGTAATCCCGATATCTATAGAATAGTCACAACACTGACAGAGACCGTTCAGCCCATCGGGTCTACGGAGGCTGTCTCTTTTGAAGAGTTAACCCCGTTCCTCAAACTCTGGCAGTAGTTTTCCCTGTCTTGTATGTATCGGATTCCTTTTTGAAAACCGTTCTGCAATCCATTCCCCTACACCATCGGACAATGAGTTTCAAATTCTATCTGCTCACTTTGCAAGAAGACTTTCCCTCTCATTGTCTGTTTCTTTTGCCATTTGCCTGAATTCTGTGCCTTCTGGTTATTATCCCTTCAGCCACTGGAAACTCTTTATTTTATCCATCCCAAACTTTTAAGCATTGCTGGGGAGTGTCTGGCTGAGGGTTGCATTGGACATTTACCTAGCCTCCCTCTGAAAGTGTAACCACTTGAGTGAGCTATCAGAAGGTGACTGGCGTCTGTAACACTGATGTATTGCCTTCAGCAGGGATGGAATAAACTAGGTCAATAAAATAGGTGCGGGGAGGGAGTCTTACTGATTTTATAAATTGCATATAGAGGATGGAGCCATCAAGGTTAATTTGGATATTCAAAAGCAACTTGTTACCGATTCAAAAGCCTTCCCTGGAAGTAGCTGCAGATGCACTGAGATGCTTTTTGACACCACTTTGATGGTTGCTGTTATCCTAAATTGTTTACAGCGTAAGGGTGGGGCAACCTTCAAACTAAATACAGAACATGATACGCTGGGCTTGCAGCCAGAGCTGTACTTCTGCATGTTGCTCCTGTCTAATGCGTATCGTTAGGAAAAGTGGGCAGAAGCATCCATGACATCTCGAGGCGAACCCTCCCCTCACTGCGGGAACCGTCGGGCTCTGGATCTCCCCAGGTTTCCTGCTGCCTTTGTTGTTGGATTTGAGTGCCTGACGAGCTCTTGCTCCCACCAGGGAGAAGCAGCTTCCTTGCCAAGAATCCACCCAATTAACTGGAAAGACTATCAGTGTTGCTGCCAGGCTATGGTACATTCTAGCATTGCTATGGCAACTGTATGCTGTAGCGATGAGAGTCAGCAAACCTCCAGACTCTGCTGTGGAACTGCTTATTCCTTTCCATTTTAACATATATCAGGTCTCACTCCGTGATAGGTCTAGGTTTGAGTGTGTGTGTGTGTGTGTGTGTGTGTGTGTGTGTGTGTGTGTGTGTG